CATATGTACACCCATAATTTGCTGAAATAAAAAAAAAATAAAATAAAATAAAAAAAAATGTGTTGATTGTAATGGTTCCTATTTTGATTAATAAAGATGTATTTGAGCCTAATTATAGTGATTTAAAATTCAAGGTCCAAAACTGCAATTCCTTTTGCATCAACCTAATAGCTCCATTTTGCTTCTGACCCCCACGATAATATCCTTTAGGTTAAAGCTTCTGCTTGGCTCTTCAGGTAAGCTAGAGGAAAGATGATAACCATCCTTTTCCCAAAACTAACTCCCGGGGAGAAAAGGAAAGTGTATATGCGAGTAATGATGCTATGTTAAAGATTTATAGTAACATCATGACCCGACCTACACCCTCCAAGGTTAACTGACTAAGAGCAAAGAAGTTTTGCAACCTCTTCAGAACGTCACTAATACACCGATGTCTGCCATCCTTGGTTACCTTTTGCAACCCCTCTTCCTCCTTTACTTAAGACAAAAGGAGCCTAAAGTTCATACTAACTTAAGATGATTCTTTAGGATATTAGTCCTCCATCTTCACAGTTTACTGGTTTTCTGAATAAAAGTCACTTTCCTTGCCCCAACACCTTGTTTCTTGACTTGTTGGCTGTCCTGCAGCAAGGAGTATAATCTTGGACTCGGTTACAAATGCAACCTTCTACTAATAATTAAAGAGAACAGAAATGGACTCCACTTGTCAATTCTTTCAATAAATGTGAATGGCTGAAACCCCCACTAAAGAGACATAGGCTGGATGAATGGATAAAAAGAATACAAGCCAAGTATCTGCTGTCCCCAGGAAACACATCTAACCCACAAGGATTCATTCAGACTCAAGGTAAAGGGATGGAAAACAATATCCCATGCAAACTGAAACCAAAAGAAAGCCATTCTCATTTCAGATAATATAGACTTCAAATCAACAAAATTAAAGAAAGCAAAGGTGGCCATTATATAATGGTGAAGGGAAAAATTTAACAAGAAGACATAACAATCCTAAATATGTACCAAACACAGTTGCACCCAGATTCATACAGCAAACCCAACTTGATCTAAACAAAATGATAAGCAGCAGCATTGCAATAGCTGGGGACTTCATCAGCCCACTGACAGAACAGGACAGATACTCAGAGCAGAAAATAAGCAAAGAAATAATGGGCTTAAATGGAACTCTACAACAAATGGGCCTAACAGACATTTATAGAACATTTTACCTAAAAACTACTGAATATACATTCTACTCATAAGATCATGGAACATTCTCTAAGAGTGATCACATCTTACCACACAAAACATGTCTCAACAGATCTGCTGCTCTAGATTATCTGTCAGCAGAACAAGGAGGTGTTTGTGTGATAGCTAACACCTCATTTTGGTTTGGGGGAGTTCTTTTTGTTTTTTGAGACAGAGTCTTACTCTGTTGCTCATGCTAGAGTGCAGTGGCATCATCATAGCTCACTGCAACCTCAAACTCCTGGGCTTAAGCATCCTTCCTGCCTCAACCTCCTGGGTAGCTGGGACTACAGGCACACATCACCATGCCTGGCTAATTGCTAATTTTTCTAATTTTTTTGTAGAGACAGAGTCTTGCTGTGTTTCTCAGGCTGCTCTCAAACTCCTGGCCTTAAGCGATCCTCCCACCTTGGCTCCCAAAGTGCTGAGATTACAGGTGTAGAGCTACTGCACGTGGCCAAACACCTCATTTTATACTTAAACTCCTCAAGAATGGTTGAAACTGAGCTCAATAAAATCAAGAGTTCAGGCAAATTGGCTACAGTAAGTGCCATCCAGAAATAAGCTAGCCTTTGATTTATTCAGTTGGTTACCAGAAAAGATAAGTTCCTGGATTATTTAGTTGGTTACCAGAATAGATAAATTCTATTACAAGTTGCGGTCTCTGCAAGAAATAGAAAAATTAGCCAGGCTTGGTAGCATGCACCTGTAGTCCCAGCTATGGGAGGCTGAGGCAGAAGGATCACTTGAGCCCAGGAGTCTGAGGTTGCAGTGAACTACCATGACACCACTGTACTCTAGCCCAGGTGACAGAGTGAGACCCTGTCTCAAAAAAAAAATCTGTATCATTATAACATCATTGTTTCTGGTAATTTTGTTGATTTATAAATGTTTGTCTCAATGTTTAAAAGGAGCACTAACATGACCTACTTGCCCGATGTTGGTCTAGATTTCTGTAACCTGTTCAGGACATCCAGAAGGAAGCTGTGGCACCTGAAGTGATAACCTTGACTGTGAGTCTGTGAAAGAGCTCATAAATTCCACGCTCTGTGGGTCATGGGGGACAGAGGGAAGATAGCCTTCCTTCACCCTGGCTTCGAAGGACAAGATGGAGAACTCAGTTCACATCAGGACCAAAGGGCCTAAGGTGATCACAGATATTCTCTCCTGGGAGAAATATCTTGATCAAAAGGGGCAATGTGAGCTTAGCAATGTTCCAGCTTGACATGATGACTCAAACTTGGGCTACTGACTCCATGTTAAACTACTCAAGAACATTGAGACCAATGAAGGAATTGTGAAAAACATTTTCTTCACAAACACCTGGGCTGTAAACAATATACAATACAGGGAAACTGATCCTAATCTTCACGAACAGTATGTATATAGGTTTTTCCAGACTAACTGATGTAAATACAGCCTTCTACTAATGATTCATGGTGGATTCTTTGTTTAATCCATCAATGAAACAAACTAACAATTTATGTAATCTAAATAAATTTCTATAAATGTAAGCCCCCTCATTCCTCTTGGGTGTTACATTCTCTGACTACTACCCAGGTTGCAACCTCCATTCCTGAGTAGACACTTATTTGCCTCTGACCTGTTGTTTCCTACTTTTGATAAGGGTAAATAGATCTCATCCTTTCTATCTATATATATTTTAAAATCATATCTGTGTGTCTAGTGCTGTCTGGGACAATATTTTATTTAACCATAGGGCTACCTTATTTATTCATTGCAAGCAACCAAAAGAAAATTAATCATACTTACCATGCTTATAGATTTGCTGATGTTCTTAGTATTTAACTGTAGAATATTTCCAACAATTGGGAGAGGAGTCGGGCCAGGGGGGAGCTTTCCTTTGGCATATCTTCCATTCCACAGAGAAAGAAGAATCAAACAAGAAAGACAAATTACCAGGACAATGAAGAGATCCATTGATGTACTTTGTGTAAATGCATTTGAAAGCTTAGAATCCAAAGGCTTTATAAACACAAAAGGCAAGCTTATCACTAAATACACACTGAGTTTTTGAAGTTTGAGTAAACATGTTTTATCTTTAGTACACTTTGGCCTAAAATGTGTTTAGGGACACAGGGTAGAAATAAAAACAAAACCCGTCACTTTAGTATTGATTAATTCCTAAGTTTCTGTGGATATTCCAACTAAAAAAATAACTCTCACTTCTTGAGAGATAGTGGTCTTAGTGGCATATTAGTAACAGTGAAAACTGTCAGATTTTCAAAGCAGTAGCTGGAGTTCATGATCTCGACAAATAATTAAAAAGAATATCTTACATGTCAAAATCTATCATCATATGAGCAAAACAAAAAAGTGCTCTCTTTCTTAGTGCCTTTTCCCAAAAGATGCCAGGGAAAAGGCCAGAATCAGAGGTATTAGGGTAGAGGAAGCCAGTCTTATCTTAGATAAGAGTAGAGATATCCCAACTCTCCTGCCACACCCCTATTCCACAAGGCAGAAATAAAAATACTTCCAAAGGATATGGAAGGTAAATAAAACAGTAGACAGGAATCCACCAAGTCAGGAAAGAAAAGAAATTGCTCACACAAAACAGAGGAAAGTCCCTTGGCCGCATATCAGCTGTTTCCTTCCTGGCACATCCATTCCCAATGAGGGGCTGGCAGCCAGAGCCTGCTTTGCCTGTCTGACTTAGGTGAGGAAACTATCCAGCATCGAACACTATGAACATTTGAAAGTGTCTAAAAATTCACAAATACGAACAAAACTTCAAGACTCAAAAGATATTTGAGAAAATCCAACAGCATAACAAATATCGAACTTAAAATCAGAAAACTTAACCCTGAAGAAGTTAACTTAGAGAAAACAGGAAAAAATGTTAAAATAATTATAAAAGCATCAGGTTAATTTAGCTATACGAAAAGAACACTTTATTAGAAAAAAAGGAAATATTCTTGGTAATTAAAAATAGGATTGAAAAAACATTTTTTAAAGAAAACAGGTATCCTGAGTAATAAATTATATTTAGCTACAGTTCAATTTATTTAGCAGGAAGATAAAAACGAGAGTTTGAATAGGTTTCAAGAATAG